TGTGATCATATCCCATTTGCGTAGATCAGTATTTCATGATGTTGATCAGTGGATTGTCTGGTCCATTAATTATTTACAGACTGCCGCCATATTGCTGGAACCTTGCTGAATGCGGCGTTAAACAAACAAACAAACAAACAAAATGTTCATTTAGGATTCACTCCTGAAGTAAAATTGACTGACAAGGAAGTCATGTGTGTATGTTTATTATATTTCATATCTTTACAGGTTAATAAGCCCGGAAATGAAGAACTTTGGCCGGGGCTTGAACATCATCTCTGTCAGTGGTAAGATTATATGATGTGAATAATGCTTTGTCTTTACCCAGTAAACTATCAGAATGGCCAGCCACCATCTTGGTACACAATGTAAGTTAGCTTTGCTTGTATGGATATCATGATGTCATGTTTGAGGTGCCATTACATGCATGTCATGTCATCAGCATCTCATAATCCACCATTGTTTTGATTTCATGAAGATGGTAGATATTACCGAAGGATGTATCTGGAGCTTTTTGTTGTCATCTTCTGGAGACTTTCAGGAATTATTTTTGGGGTCTTACACATGTAGTGCACATAGTGCATTTCCCAAGCTGACTGCTGTACAGCAACAAATAACGCAACAGTATTTTCAACCTTATGAAAATTATGGATATGACTTTCTTGTTTGAAATAAACCATATTCATGATGTTGATTTAGTTAAAAAATCAGACATGGACAGCTCACTGCGAATAGCTGCAAAACTGTTGATGTGGCGTTAAGCAATATTCACACAGACATGGAAAGTGAAAGTTAACATACATGCTACCTTGTACGGTCTGAACTGAATTGTGTTTTGTATGTTTACATGGGACCTGCAGTGCAACTGTCCAAACTCATGTTGTATGTGTGGTATTTTGTGTCCGGTAAAGTCATGATGTCATGCATAGACCCAGCAAAGAACAATGTTTTTATATATGCTTTAGCTTTGTACATATTTTGTTATATTTTTCAGAGAAAACATTTGATGTGACAGATATTAAAACATTTGACACCTATGTGGAAGGTTAGTGTTACTTTCTTTCTTATGTGCAGTATTAAAAAAAAGGCCGCCTCCGTGGTGTAGTGGTTAAGCGCCCCGCCGAGAGGCGGAAGGTCGCGGGTTCGATCCCCGACCGCGTCATACCAAAAGACGTTAAAATATGGTACTTGTTGGTCCCTGCCTGGTGCTCGGCATTAATGGGTACAACAAGGACTGGTCGGCTCAGAGTCAGTATACTGTGTCTGAGTGGGGTATTCATGCTTCACTGCGGCATAGTATCTCATTGGGCTAGCACTATAAAACCAGCTTAAGTCTGGGCTAGTACAAGCAACCGCACATACACATACACACGCATGCACACCGTCTTATGAGCGAAATATTCTCAAGCACGACGCTAAACCCAATTTCACCTCAGCTCACCTATTAAAAAAAAAATGTTGAAAATAATTGTGGGAGCATTCATTAAGTGAATGTTTAACCATGTGGCTTGTAACTGTCATGTGGAATGAGGAGAATGATATAATTTAATCTTATACATTGTTTGAGAAGGTGGGGCAAAGCTGACAGATATTTAAGGTACGTTCTTGAACCTTTTTCAGATTCAGGGTTGATTAGATTCCTCAAGAAGATGCCAGCAGAGACAGTTGTCATCATGAGCAGTTACGATGAAGTCTCCTCAAGGTGAGTTGCCCTTGGGATGAGTCACAGTGGGTTGTCTTTTCAAGGTGTGTTGGTCCTTGGAAGTAAGTTGGTCCTTTTAACAGACAGACAGACAGACATTTTATTCCAATATCAAGGCTGTTGACCCTAAATACAACCTTGGATTAACTTTCACAATCCATGCATAAATACACAATTTAGAGTCCATGAATTATTCCATGCAAGAGTTGTCATGCATATGGATTTACCTGTGGTATGTACACTTATCACACGCCCATTTCATGTGTAAGGGCAATTCTAGGTTTATACACCTTATGTAAGAACTGACCAATATCATAGACAACACTACATTTATCTGATGCCATAATATTTATAAAAGACTGATGTGATACTGATGTTACATGTCTGAAAATATATGTGCTTGTTTTGGTTGCATATTGTTTACACACAAATAATACATGAATTTTGAACTTACCTTACCATAGGTCTTATGCATATTACCTCAAGCTCCACTTAAAAGAGATCAGACAGTCGTTGATTCATCATTCTCTAGAATGGCTGCCTTAAGTATCGATGAGTGTACAGGAACGGAAGTGACTTGATCTACCCTCCCGCGCAAGCGCGGTCTATCCAAAAATCACATTTTTCCTTATCCTGACTCATGCTCTTTTGCTTGTCCCCTTCCTCTTGCGAACATAGTGGAACACTTGTATCTCCTTAATTGAAGCTCCCTTCAATGTAAAATCACTAATTGGTACTCACCCACGAGTTACCTCCCCTGCCGTAAGCGCGGGAACAGGTGTCGCCACCCTCTGGCCTCCTTCTTCACTCTCTCCTTCTTCGCCCAGTGAGCAGGATGTGAGAGCGCCTGTGTCTCCTTACACACTATATCCTTTGGTTTTCTTAGTTAGTTACCTATTATAGTTTACTATAAAGGTATAGCTAGTATCCTTCAGTTATTTGCATTGATAATTAATCGTATTTCTACTGTTTATTCACGCGGAGTTCGCGGATTGTTCAGCTAGTTTTACATTGATGAAAAACTGTACTCATTTGTAGATTACGTTTTTCCGCTATGCGGATCCGCATGTGGTATGCCCTAGTTTGTACGCCTTGTGCGTTTGATTCACGCTGCAGTTACTGCATAAATTTAACCAATTCTGCCTTTGATAAATACCATCTTTGGCGCCTTGGAGACGGTTGCAGATAGGTCAATGAAACTAGGTGTAGACATGGCTCGATACGCCGGATTGCCCATCCAGTCAACTGCTGTCGAATTTATCCCTCCCGCCTGGTGTTCTGCTTGAGACCCCATCGAGAGGGACGTGCGGGATGCAGTCCGTCACCTCTAAGAAGTTTACCCGGCCTCCAGACATCCAGTCATCGTGAGACAAAGTCCAAGAGGGCCTCAACGCGTCTCTCAACGCGAGGCACTCAGGGCAGCGCCATCCTCCAAAGGGAAATTCTACGAAGTCATCGAGAACTCTCAGCGAGATCGCTCCAGCAGCAGAATTGGGCCTCTACAATGACCAGCCTATCATCAGGACATACATACAAGAAGCGACCAGTGACAGCGACAGTGGCGGGCCAGCAGAGATCACCATGCAGCCTGATGCCTCTACACTGATGTCAGACGCAGATCGCTGAGGGCCCCACCGCTAGCACAGCAGAGAGGGCACCATCTACTACGCCGCAGATCATCCCAAACGATCTTATGAAACAGATCATGATTATGATGGAAGGCCACTATAGACTGGAGAAGCAGCCATCCCAGGGTCCGAAGCCCGCTGAAGGCTCCAACGTGACAGCACCCCAGAGGCACCCATCTGTCAACGTAGCAGCCACGACAATGCAGCCTTCGCACAAGGAAGTCACAGACCACCTCGACGAAGGACCCGATGTACAGCCTTCGCTGGGCGGAAAATCATCACCTTCTTCTCGGGCGCCATACTCAGATACGGAATCTGATTATCAGACCACACGCAAGCCTTCGCGAAGGTCATATCATCGTTCCCCAGGACCGGACGCAAACGAAGCTTCGCGAAGGACACCTGAACCCAGATTGTCTTCATCTAAAAGATCATCAAGGGACTACACAAGAGCTTCGCGAAGCTACCATCAGTCCCCTCATAGGTCGCCAAGAAGGTCAACCTATCGATATAGATCACCAAGACGATCGCCTCGCCGATCACCACGTCGATCACCTCACAGGTCTGCACATCAGCCTACAACTAGATCTCCACAAGCGTCAAACGATATAGAGATAGAGCCACACAGCCCTACATCAGAAGAGCAACAACCTCTTATCTATGATGATGGAATGGAAGATGATGGAGGAATTATTTTCTCAGATGCAGAGATAAGATATTGGATGGTCAATAATCTAGATCTCTCATCACCTTCCAAGAGTGGCAATAAGCAAGCAGACTTATCTGATGAAAGAAGATGACGCAGATGCTATTACACTACCCCCAATCGACCCGACAAGGGCGGTACCTCAGAACCTAGATACAGCATTTAACAAAGCCACAAAGGTTCAGACGCCACATTCTGCCAAATTTCAGGCGCCAAGAAGTTCTCCACGATAATATGGACCCTTCTTCAAAGCGCAAGACATCGATGAGAACTATAAGCTGATCTCCCATGCCAAGAACAAGTACTACAAGATTGATGATCGGAAATTGGTTCAGATAGAAACCATGACGGTATGTATGTTCTTTGGTCTAAATAGATCTAGAACAATAAATGAGACACTTATCTCCAGATTTCGAACACCTAACCTCTGAAGATGACAGAATGATTTACTCGGCCCTACTGATGCAAAAGAAGGACCAGCAGTTTTTAACAGATCATCTGACGTCTGTCTCAGCAGCACTGACCTTAGCTCGTCGTCAAGGCCTCCTAGCTTCCTGCAACTGGGGTGAGAACTTTACAGCTCCACTATATACAGCCCCGTGGTCTTCCCCATCCATATTTTGACGGAGGAATAGACAGAGTCTCCAAAGAAGTCACCAAGGATTCTAGAGAAGTCCTGATGATTAAATCGATGGACACGCTAGCCAGTGTCATTCGACAGACTTCACAAAGATACTCAGGGAGATCTAAATTCACGGGCCTACAAAGAGCTAGAGACAGGAAGATTGCCAGTTCCAGGGGAAGAGATTCTTTTCACTAGCCCATATGGCAACTATAGAGGAGGGTCAGGAAGAGGCAGGACACCCAGAGGTTCCCGCAACTATAAACGCTGAAAGACAGGTTCGGGACGACTGGAGTCTTCCACCCCAGCCGCTCCAGTACAACCGCTCACAAGTGGGTGGACGCCTTCAACTACACTGGGAAAACTGGGGAATACTTCAAGACACCTATGTCTCCAACATTCTTCAACGCTGGATTTCAGATCCCACTACAGGCCAAGCCTCCACTAACAGTCAACCCTCACAAGTTCGAGGTACAGGCACAACAACTACTAAAGTTAAGAGAGGCGGTTACATTACTCCTAACCAAGCAGGCCATAGAAGTAATAGAGCAAGGAAACATCGAACCAGGTTTCTACTCCCCAGTTTTCCTAGTACCCAAGAAGAACTCCAAGGAGAAATACAGACTCATTTACAACATGAGCTTCTTCAACAAGACTTACTTAAGCAGACCACCCAGGTTCATTTTATGATACATCTACCGCAGCTACGCAGATGATTAAGCCCCATGGACTACATGGGCAGTATAGATCTACAAGATGCTTATCTGCACATCCCGATACATCCCGAATCCAGGAAATACCTTCGGTTTACGCTAGACGGGTTACATTACCAGTGGAAAGTACTCCCATTCGGAATAGCATCAGCCCCATGGTTATTCACGAGGATAACGAAACCGATTGTTACCTATCTACATCGTCAAGGGCTACGCAGTGCGTTCTTCCTCGACGACGGGATACAAGTAGATCAAGATCCACAGCATCTCAAACTACAGTTAAACTACATCATAAAGCTACTAACACAGCTGGGATGGTTAGTAAACTTACACAAGTCGGACCTAGTACCATCGCAAGATCTGCAATTCCTAGGCATCCTACAGATCATTCCACCAGCTCTACTTTCGCCGCTACCACTCCGACAATGGCAGAGCTTACTAGGTCTTCTAACATCAGCCCAAGACTTGACAGTCATAGGCAGATTACAGTTACGTCCATTACAGGTCTTCGTCAACACACATCTCGACGACCTACAACCATTCAGTCTACCGAAACATCTCAGACCTCATCTATTATGGTGGACAAAGAAATCGAATGTCTGCGAAGGGATTTGTTTAGCAGAGCAGGAATTCAAAACCCATCTATATGTAGACGCGTCGCTCCAAGGTTGGGGAGCTCATCTCACCAACCGGACGGCATCAGGGTTATGGACTCAGCTAGAAAGCAAACTCCACATAAACGCATTAGAGATGAAAGCTGTAATCAACGCCATAAGACATTGGAGCAACATTCTACAGAATGCGCACCTGATGATACATACCGACAACTCGACAGTGGCGTTTTATGTGAACAGACAAGGCTCAACGAGATCGCCGAACCTTTTGAATTTAACCTTTCAACTGTTCGAATTAATCCAAGATCTAAATCTACATGTCAAAGCATGCCACATTCCCGGAGCCAGGAATATACTAGCAGACGCACTCTCTCGGCCACATCTACCGTCGCCGACAGAATGGATGCTCAATACAGAGATATTTGCACAGATAATCAAGCAAATAGGAGCGCCGCTAGTAGATCTATTCGCCACAAGGTTCAACAATCAACTACCGACATTCGTGTCACCAGTGCCAGACCCACAAGCATGGGCAACGGACGCTCTAATCATCATGGGAAGGCCTCAATGCGTACGCGTTTCCGCCCCCAGCAATAATACCTCTAGTATTACAGAAAATCAACCAAACGCAGAGCCTACAACTCACTTTGGTCGCGCCCTATTGGCCGGCCAGAACGTGGTTTCCCGCCCTAATACAAGATATCGGTCAACCGGCAC